AATGAACAGAAATCGACAACCAACGGAAATTAACTTGTCAGTGAAATGAAATATATATATAATCTTTATATGATTAAACGATTGAAATATAGTGAAATCAAAATAATATATTCTTGGGACGCATTAGTGTAACTACCGAGTGTCGAGGGGTCAAGGTGTCCAGGGTCGAACTGGACAGGGGTCGAGGTGATTTGGTAACCCTCATCTGGACGCCATATAATACATACTTATCGAATTTCGTTATCAATACGCTGTGTTGTCGAATTTGTGATCATAAATCTTTTTATCAAAAGGTGATTTTTATAACATAACTTCTTTAATATGAGCCCTATTTATATATTTATTTTCACAATCGGTTAAAATTTGCGGAGACTTGACTGACATGAAAAACACTTTCTCCTTCAATGTAGTCATTACACTGTATTAAGGAACACATTTTTTAACAAATTTAACATTGTTCCCGATATCTGTTCAGAAGAACAGCATTTTATCAAATTATTAAAAAGTACACATCAGAAAGCCATTATTGAACTTGGTCAACTTATCTATAATAGTTGTTTTCAAATGAGAGAACAAAGTTTGAATAAATAAATTTACCAGCTGTCTCATACCAGTACCATCAAAAGCAATTAATAAATATATAAATAACATTTTATTGTAATATTACAATCTATGCAATGTTCTTATTTTACTTTTGTTTTGTATCTGTTTTTACTTTATTATTATCATGATTTTATTCTTTATTGTAATTTTATCCTATATCTCAACAGAGATTCAAAGTTACTATTATTATTACGACAACAGCGAATCGTATGTCCAAATATAATGTGTTGTACTCTTTGTGTATTGATTATTTCTAAACGGCAAACGATAAAATTGGCATATTTTATACTTATTTCATGGCGAAATATATTCATGTCAAAACTTGGTGTTTTTATTCTATTATGCTCTTTGAAAATACATTTGTCATCTACGAACATGGAATTCTCAAATAAGAAAATGCGATTTGACAATGCAAACATACAATTCAGAGATGCAGCACAAAACAAATGTAAACACGCGATCTGACGATGCTAACATGTAATTCTGAGATGCAAGCTGGTAATTCTAAAATTTAAACATGCATTTTCTGGTTATTTCTGCAACAAAAATATTTTCAACACAGGAAAATGATTAAAAGAAATGACATTTACTTCGGTAAGCGGTATAGTAGAAAATGGATTTTTACATGGTCCCTAGATATCCTGGGGCGAGCCATGTAGATTTTGTGAAAAAATTATAAAAAAAATTATAACGCTTGAAAACAAAATCCTACACTATATGCATGTAAAAACAAAATCTGAAACCTTCAGACTCCCTGAATCAAGACAAGACAGGACAGGACAAAAATAGAATTTTTAAAGAATGAATTTTATTTATCCTTTCTCTCAACAATTTCATCAACTATGTTGTTTAACAGATCTTTCACAATGAATTTCTGCTGTATTTTTGTATAAACTGTCTCTAATAATGCATTTATTATCAATGGGGGTGGCGGATTGACGAACATCTCACTGACTGAGGGCAGTATGGCAATAGCTAACTAAATACGTAACAGACGTATTCTTCCGTGTTAAAATATTTCAGGTTTGATTCCGATAGAAGTAAACACGGAAACAATAGTCGAATACGAAACTGAATACAAAGAAAGCCTATGTCGATACAGCACTCAAATTTATTTGTAATTGGATTATTCACTATGGTGCTGTTGCAGAGCAGTACTTGACTGAATCGTTCGATTTATTTAGCTTTCAGAATGTTCGACGTTATTACTTTCATTATACAATTTAGGTAAAATGGAAAGTAATTCTTCGTCGTTTGGTGTCTCGTTTTTCACAAATTTATCAGTACATAGAGCAGAACTTGTAAGTTTATCTTTCAAGTTAGTATTTCTACGAAATGCAAGAAGAGGAGGATTTGGAAAAATGTTAGTGAGTAACTGATCATTCCGAATTAAGTCCCAGTTTTTTAATAGGGCTCTTTTGAGCTTAGATCCTAGTATATAAAGGTTGAATGTAGTTGTGAATATTGTTTGCCCTTCATTATTAGGCATCGATTCACATAAATGTGAGATACGATTGTCATGTTCATTAATTGAAGATAGATTAAATAGATTACGTTTATGTAAGAAATCGCTTAGATTATTACATGTTCGAGCATACCGAATGGTTTTGCCTTTAATAAATCCTTTGAATACTGATGTGGAGTGACAAGAATTACGTTTCAAATATTTCCGTTGTCTTGGTGTGCATCATGGAGTATTCAAATGTGAGCCGGTATTTGTTATGAAGCATATTGGTTTCCTGAACAAATTTGTGTAATTCAGGAACGGTACCTTTAAATACCATGAAGATATCATCTCGAAAACGATACCAAGTTTTTGGTCTACCGACAGTAAATACCACCGGGGCGTTCTAACTTAAAGTTCTAAATTTAATGGGTCTGTATGTTTATCCGTGTCGTAATCGACTAATTCCAGGTTGTACATTTCTGTAACAAATTCATGGACTAAATTAGTTGTAACTATGGTATCATGGGGAGTGTTAGACCACTGTTTTAGCAAAGCTATGAATTGTCGCTTTGGTGACAAATTTTGAAAATTTTGGTTTTTGCCACTTGTGCACACATCATTAGGTGATACTCTTTCTCATCTTCTACTTGATTTTGATCACAAAGATTGCATGTCTGCCAGTCTCAATTTTCAAAATTATGAGGCAGAATTTAGTTAACAAGGTAGGTTTCAAAAGCAAAATTGTTTTTTAATTCTCTGTTTGTTCTTAATTTATTTTTTTTCATTTTGTTTTGATCGATTGTCGTCATGTAATTCACTTATCGAAGTTGATATAAATGATGTTTGTATATTTTTATTAATTTGTCCTAATAGCCTTGCTGTCAGAATTTCATTGTTTCGACCCGGTTAGACTGGTTGATGTTATTCAAAAGGGAGTCTATATTAGTGTACCATTTACTATTACTTTCTTTGTTTTCTTAGAAATGGATAATAATGGATTTGACGAGTTAATTAATTAAATTATTTAAGTATTTAATATATATTTAATTAATTATTGTATTATTTGTTTGTTTTCCGATAATAGTCTCCAATGGGTAACGTCCAAGGCACACCATATAAGCCCATTGTTGTGGTGCTTTTGCATGTCCTCAAGAAAAAACGAAGATAATTTATATGTACATCTTTAATTAGTGATTTTATAGTGCAATTTAATCTCCCCATATGTATATTGATAAATTATCAAGCCGTGGCTCGGCTAGTACAAGACGTAATGTAATTATTTCCACGCCAGGTAACACACCTGAAAACCAACATCGAATTACTGTGGCCAATGACATTGAATTTTGCTCTTACATAAAGCAGCAGTTTCCCTTATTCAAATAATCAAAAATACCCTTCATAGCCTGGAGAAGACTGTGCCAAGGGATTTTCGTCTTCTCAATTTCTAAAGATAAACGCCCCACGGTTGTTTTGTTTACTAAAAGGAAATGTCTTTTGGCACAATTTCTTGTATTAATTTCCATTGCACAATAAAGCAGCAAATACTGTTACTGAAGCACAGAATTTGCATGATTTTTCCCCCGGCAAACTGCAAATGCAGTTCTTTACCGCATCCATAGTTGTTGACACTTTGCAGCCGCAATGATAGGATGTATTGTGACGTATTTTGACCCCCTGATTCTTGACCTTGCTACATTTACTTCCCTTTTATACCAGTTCAATTTCCTTTCATTATTTTTTCCCTCCAGATATCATGATATTCAATATTTAAAACCAAACTTTATTTCACAGTCATCCTAGTTTTCACTTTTCTAAAATATTTTACTGATCAAAGTTTTACTTAATTTCAAAAATTTTTATTTTTTACTCGCATCATGCAATCTCCCATAGGACTTCCGCAACACATCGACGAGCGCCAACATAAAATACAAATAACCTCGCTCTCAGGAGCTGAGGAATAAATACGATTCGATCAACTCGGGTGCTGGAAATTTATAATTTCATAGATTATATTTGTACACATACAACAGTTTCTATTTATTCATTAATAACATGTAATACCGTTTCAGTTGTAATTTCATGTTCTAAGTGGTGATCTCGGAATAAAAAAACGTTTAAAAATCAACCATTTTATTGTAAATCATTCGAATTCCAATTCGAACTTCTTAAATTGGGGTTTCCAGTAAGAGAGAGAGAGA